GTATGAGCTGCCGCACACAACAAGCAAGAGTGATGTTGCAACCCAAACAGGGAGCACAGGTGGAGTGAAGGAAACCTTTGTTTCTTACTGTAATCAAATCAAAAGCACCTCCAGTTTAAATCAATCACTAAATCCATCCTCAGATCACCTGTTCAAGTTTGTAGCTGCACCCATCCACTGTTAACACAGGCTCAAAGGTGAAGTTAAATACGTGCACATGCAGACAAACCCTTCTTACTACACTTATTTAGTACCACAACTTTAACCTCGACTCAGATCCAGACATGCGAGACAATGGCGTGTTTGCTATTTGCCCTATGAGCAACAGACATGTTGCATTTGTGTCTCAGCAGTGAGCCTGTGAGGTGTTCAGTGGGCAAAGAGTGAAACTGCATCACAAAAGCTACACAACTGTCAAAGATGCACGTGTGATGCAGGCACTGTGCAGTCAGTCTGTGCTCGGTTCCACTCGGTGTGATCTGAGTTATATATTTAATAAAAATGTGAGCGTGGCGTTCAGGGCCAAGCAGCATAGATGTGTGTGTCTGTGTCAAAGACAGTCTGGACCTGAGTGACAGAAACACCAGAAACTGTGTTAAATAAAAAATGAATAAATAATTTTTGCTGATTATTATTTATCTGTTTAAGAAAAGAGATTTTATATAAGAATGATCATTTTAAACGGGTAAATGTTGGACACACACACACACACACACACACACACCCAGGCCCGTCCCAGGTAGCACCTCCCTCCTCGTGACCACAAATCGGGCGCTCGGCGCTGTTTTGTCTCCCATTGACTTCAAGGTTAAAGGCAACAGGGGTCATTATGCTGTGGGAGGATAACTGCTAAGGTCAAGGGTGACACGCGGTGCATCCCTCCCCCACTGCACGGCGCAGGTTTGATTTGTCATCAGTATCGAGCTGATTCCACTTGGAGTGAAAATATTGTGTACCAACAAAGCCTGTGACTGTTAGCATTAAAGTTCTTCTTCCTGCTGAGGAGACGCTGTGCGGCTGTTTCCTGTGCGTAACCTTTGAAAATGTCTCTTAAGCAGGACTATAAAAGTGAATAAAGCGTTGCTATGAGAACAAAGGTTTTATCTTGTCAGCTCCACAAAATCTGCAGCAAAAATCTCCACGTGTAGAATTTTCAGGTTAAGGATGTTTTTCTCTACGTTTGTCCCCTGGTGAAGAATTTTAATATTCAAACGTGCACAAATATACTGGTCAGGTCCTTCGTACGACACGCTGCAGTCGTGCACAGCTGTGTTTGATCTCCAGCAGACGACACACCTTTAGGTTTTCTCTCTTCTTGACAGATTCAGTTAGATTTTGGGTTTGTTGCCCAACCACTGTTACTGTAACACAGATATTCTTACACATTATCAAACTAGTGATTCAGTTGATGGAACCATGAATTCTGCTCTCTGAAGGGAAAAGTTTGGGCGTCAGTTGGTTCCCATGGATCTGAAACATCCGCTCGTTCTCCTCTGACTAACTGAAGCGTTTGGAGTGTCTGGACTTGAATCAGACTGAGATGCTTCGCGATGAATTTTATTGGCCGTTCGTGGCTGAAAACCCTCCAGCTGGATCAGTCAACGTTACTTTTTCACACCTTAGAATAACTTAAAATAAAAACTGCATTTTTGTTTTTACTCTGGTCATTTCTAATGTTACAATTTGTTTGAGGTTCAACAAATATGCAAAGAAATAAACCATCAAGAGGCGAATGATCCTTTTTGGTTCACAGCAGATTCTGAAATACTCAGACCAACAATTAAGCAGAGATGGGCACTTACAAGTAACGCGTTACTGTAATCTGATTACTTTTTTCAAGTAACGAGTAAAGTAAGGGATTA